CCCTTTACCCCCCGGAATATCCCTGGTACTCATTTCTGTTAGAGACTGAGTCGAACCCAGGCCCATAGTGCTGCTGGAAAGATTGGCTCAATCTGAACCTGCGACCTTCCGGCTTGTAGCATAATGCCTCAAGCAACTATGATACAGCGTGCCCCCCCCCACATTGATTTGTATGTTGTGTCAAAAAACTGCCACCTCCAAGACACGTAGGTGCTGCAGAATGCAGCATCAACAGTCATAAAATGGGACTTCCCCAAATGAAGAATAACCGCGAAACTAATGAAACCACCCCCGCCTCATACGAATAACAGCGTTACAATAAAAGCTCAGACCAACCCCCCCACCCCGGGAGTAACACCAGAACAATTAAACGCATGACGTGGACAGACAGAATGTATTCAGTGCTGCACAGTCACATAAAATATTCAAAATCTAAAACTTCATAGAAATGTTTACAATGTTAACCAACAGACAGGAAATCAACACATTATAATACAGAGTTACTATAAATGATTCATTCCATTTCAAAACACATTATCGGTCGCCCTTTGCTTTTCGTTTAAAAAGACAGCCAGTATCCTTAAACTGCCGATACCACCGCAGAATGCTCTGTTTACATGGCGGTTCCTTTCTGTGCTCTGCTCTGAATGCACGCTGCACTGCAATAACACACGAATATCTCGCACACTCCAACACACAGAAACTCTTTTCCAGCTTCGTCGTCATTTTATGAGGTATTGGACTCATGCTGCCAAGCGGTGTATCACGATACAAACTTGGTGAGTTTATGGTTCCTATCATGTACAAATCATATTTGTATGTATAGTACTTTGGAAAATATAATGATCTAAAATGGAATGAATCATTAATAGTAACTCTGTATATCCATAGCTACACAGTTCAGATTGCATAACTCACAGGTGGATCCACTCCCTCATGTAGATTTACCCTAGTACAGTATCTAGTAACTAAAATAAGACCTGAAGATGTCACACACGTACCGATACTTGTCCTAGATAGCAACTAAACCTTCAGAAATTTGCACTGTGTTGACAGCAATGCAATAAAAACTGTCTATGTACGGTGTGCTGTCAACACAGTGTTTAAAGTGGGCGTGTAGGTTATGTACTGGGTACTGCAAAGCGGAACACTGACATGATCATGATTCTTTTCTGTCCTCCACGAATTGGAGAAAACACAACGTGTAGTCCTTTAGTTTCAATGATGAAATGCCTCGATGTCTGTATTATTTCATCATACATGTCTCACTTGTAACCTATTTTAGCATTACCTATAATAGAGTCGGTCATCTTAGCCGCGCGGTCTAAGGCATGAACAGTCTTGGCTCGCTTGGATGCTGAGATCATGGTTCGAATCCCACTCTCAGGGCATGGATGTTTGGTGTGTATGCGTTTTTCTGTGTTTGTGTTGTCCTGTATTTAAGTAGAGGCCTTGCGACGGTCTGATTACTCGTCCAAGGAGTCCTACCGTCTGTGAAATGATTAAAAGAATAAAAGAAACCCCGACAGCCGTATAAGGGTACAAGAGGAACGGGTTAATATAAAAGAAATGTAAACTCCTATAATAAGATGATCATTTACGAATACCTGTAGCGAAGCTCTTAAAATTACACTTAAGAATTTTTTTAACATACAGTCATTCACTCTTTAAATAACTACATGCATTTGTTAAAATGAAACTCCGTCTAGCTGCGTGCTTCTTGGGAAGCTAGAGTACTCACGAATGTCCCAAAAATTTTAAGGAACACCAAGGCTCATTACCGTGTTAACAAGGGCAAACCACTAGTCTCTATCATAAGCCAGATTAATGCAGTCCTTACCACCCCAACTTCTTTCTCTAAGACCCATTTTAATATTATTTCCTTACCTACGTCTAAACCTTCCTAGTGGTGTATTTCCTTCTGGCTCCCCCACCGAAACCCAATATACATTCCTCTTGTCATGCGTGCTACAAATCCTCCCCATACCAGTCTCTTTGAAAACTATTCGCATTGTAAGTAATATATTTCTGCACGTACGTTTACGTGTCTTCATATTGCGTGTCAGCTCATTGAATGTGTTCGTTGTTTCACGAGAGCCACGTTGACATTCAGTGTTTAAATAACATTCATCACCTCATGTCCTTTCCAGGGACCGCGGGAATAACACGAAGAACTTGAGAACATACTCGTACCTTGAATCTCAACTCCCCCACTGGTGGCTTGGCATAAGGGACTCCTTGAAAAGCGAATATCTCACGGCCCTTCCGTGACGTCAGCCGATGCCCTTTGAGACTTCCGTGTTTTAGTACAACTAAATCATCAGCTAGAACTGTGATGATAGTTGTCAGAAGACCAGCTAATCCGCATCTCATAATAACTGCTTGCTATTTAGTTGACTTCTGCATTAGAACTGCAGTCGGCTCACTCGTAACTTGCGCGCGCATATAGTACTGGCGGAAAAACGCCCTCTCATGTTGTGGAAGATTACGCTAGGAAACAACGTGCAGGCGTGATTGTGTTATTTTCTTTACATGCATTTTTCTTGTACATGATGCATCAAGTGAACGCATACGGGTGGTCGTGTGCTTGCGTTTGCTCTTCGCAAACAGATCGAACTGATTTGGAATAAAACTGGTACCACTCTTCAATACCAGATGTTGCTGGGCAACAGACCAACAGTTGCTTCACACGGGCCGCAAATACTGTCTTCTGGTTTCCACAGAAGGGCGAAATCTGCAATGATCCGACTCGCGGCAGGCTTCAGATCAACCAATTGAATTCAATGCATTTTCATATACGTAATTTATGAGAAAGTACTGTGATGCCAACAGAGTCGAGTTCCAGGTTTTGACGGGTTTACACGTCTTAAGAGTCCCTAAATACGAAAAAAAAGTGTTTTTTGGAACCCCGTCTGTCTGTCTGTCTGTCTTTCTGTCTGTAGATATACCGCTTGGTAGTTCCCGAAATTTAGAACGGATTTTAGTCATAGATTTATTCGATATTTAACAATATATCTGCCAAGGGGCGGGTCTCGATGAATATGTTTCCTTGTAATGGGTCTCCTCCCCCCAAGAAATGGCGGTTATCTTGCTAACGGCTATAACGATTTTGGTTAAATTTCATTACTTCGTGGAGACCACCTCCTGAATAAGTCCGCGTAGGTGACATCTGCAGGAAACAACTGAAGCGCACTTCTGCTGCAAATGTTCACGCAACGCGTGCATGTTCTGTCGCAATCTGCGTCCAACAGTGACCTATGGAACAAGAGTGCATTTCGCTACCAAGGTCGTGTAGGCGAGGTCCTTTCCTTTTTAGAGAGGTAGCCGACTGACTACATGAAGACATTCTGCAAGGTACTCAGAAACAGACTAGGAAGCAAAGTGAGGAACAAAGCTTATCCAGAACATTTCACAAGAATGAAGGTTTGTATGAGGATACAATTTTCTGTATAAACACTGGACGATTTCAAACGATAAACCAAGGTGTAAACTAAGGATGTACTGTGTCTCCAACCCTATTTACTTTATGTGTAGACGCAGCCATTTGCCACTTGCAAATTCAGCTAAGTTCAAAATTTACACCACGATCTTATTCTTTGACAACCGAGTCATATTTTCTGATCTCAGTGTCATCAGCTAAACGAACGGCAAGAAAAAGTAAACTTATCCCTGTAACAGGCCCTGGAGGCCCATAGGGGTGTGAGATGTCCGGGTTCCCACATTTTGTAGACAGTCGGCTCACAGATGGCGGTAAGTTTGTCAGCCTTACTCACCGGCCGCGCTTAACTATCCAGGAAAATTATTTAATTAATTCCTGGTACTCATTTCTGTTGGAGTCTGAGTCGACCCCAGGGCCGTAGTGAGGCTATAAGGATTAGGTCAATTAAAAAGAACCCAGTGATCTCATCAGGATTCGAACCCCGTTGCCTTCCGACATGTAGCATGGTACCTCAACCAGCTATGCTACTACGTGTCCCCAGGAATTCTACAAGGCTGACCCCTATGTTAAGATTTACGAACCAGACGGGCAAAGAGGTGTTTGACGAAGGTGAGCGGTTCGTCGTCGAGACGGAGCAGGGCATTGAGAGCCCACCAAGAAGCAGATGATGATAAAGACGAAAAGAAGGAGGGCAGTTCCCTCATCCCGTGCACTGTGATATTTCTAGAGAGGTTAGCTTTTCGACGTGAGATGGAATTGAGGTTAACACGGCGGTGATGACGGAGGCCACGATCTGATGGATTGTAACACCATGCCATTCGGGTCACCAACGTTTCAGAGAAATGTATCGCCTCTATCTTCAGGGTCGAAGAGTAAGCCGAGGAAGGAACCAGAAAGAAGCAGGGAGCAAAATATATTATAACGGCAGGTAGTTGGGTACAAGGTCACCGACGTTTCGGAGGAACGTACCGTAAAAAGCCAGCAAGAAAAGGCGGCTAGTGACTCTGAAACGTTAGTAGACTCTGTAGAACTACACGCCATTCTTTCAGCAATAGGTTTCAAACATCAGCAAACTTCAACAGAAATAAGATATACAGAATAACACACAAGGGATTTGGAATAATATGAGCTATCTGAAAAAGTGATTTAAATATTTGAAGTTATTTCAATTGTCTTAATACTTGGTTGTATATAATAGCACGCCATGAGATGACTTCCTTTCCTGAGAAGCGTATGTTAAAATTGCTTTGACCGTTCATCTACAAGCATAGAACCGCTGAGACGGCATTTAGGAAATGTAGTAAGGACAGACTCTAAAGGGTTCTGACGATGGTGTATGGCAGAATTACTGAGTTTTCGGTCTCTTTCCCATTGTCCGGTATTCTAGAAAATACAAAACACAGCGTTTCGGAAACTGGATCTGTTTTCGTCCTCAGGCGAGGGGGAGGACACCTACTCAGCTGGTTAGGTTTGTAGGAACAATTTCTAGCTCATTTTCTATCCTAGTTCCACGCATGTGTGTGCTGTATCACAAGTTTTATTGAATGTTTTCTTGTTATCCCCAGCCGAATTAGCCTGGTCTCAGGTGTGAATCTGACAGGTGTTGCCAGTGATCGAGGTTAGTTCTTTCTAAGTTGTTCAACTGAGTAGGTGTCTTCCCCCCATACCTGAGGAAGAAAACCGATTTATGTAAGATTTGAGGCTTTCACGGCAGTGACTATGAAGAAAGCAGTCTTTTGGGATTTGGCACCGTGTATATGTGGCGTTAACCGACGTTTCGGAGGAACGTATCGCCTCCATTTTCAGGGTAGAAGAAAAAATATAAGAAATCTGCAAGCGAAGAGACCGTGAGAACCAGTAAAAGCAGACCTCCGAAACGTCGGTTAATACCACATATACACGGTGCCAAATCCCAAAAGACTGCTTTCTTCAAAACCGATTTATTTTTCGAAACGAAGTTTTCTCTAGTCTCTAGAATACCGAACAATAGGAAAATCCAAAAGCAGTAATCCTGTGTATTATAACACGGAGTTCTACACTGCGTCGAGCCATTTCGCTTTTGACCAAATTGGACGGCTCTTCTGCATGAGAATCTGCTCGCGTGAATGCACATAACTGGCGCAATATTCTAATCAGAGCCCTGGAGTAACAGGCTCATAGTTCAACTACAGTATATTTTTCCATGTTACCGTAGTTGATTGAGCACTGTGGTAAAAACCGGAAGGTCACGGCTTCCATTCCCGATGAGGTCATTGTATTCTTTTCTTTATTTATCTCGGCCCTGGGGTCGACTAAGCCTCTAACAGAAATGAGTCCCAGGAATATTCCCGGGGGTAAAGGGCGGCCGGCGCGTAAGACTGACAGCCTCACCGTCATCTGTGAGCCGATTATCTAGAAAATGTGGGAACCTCGACGTCTCAGAAACCTATGAGTCTTCACGGCCGGTTACAGGGATAGCTTTATTTTTTACCATAAAATTTTAAAGATAATGAAATAAGTGGGGGGAGAAATGCGCCGGATTTTTTAAGCTAGAGTCCTGAAGGGTGATGGTAAAAAAATATAAAGTTGTTCTTGTACTTAAATATTTAAGCACTACGCCATGAAGGCGTATGGGGAATGGATGTATATATCCACCTTTTCTTGACCTCGGTACTAGTTGGAGGCGAGTGGTTAGCTTCACGCCCCGGGGCCGTTTTACNCCCCCCCCCCCATCGGGGAAAGAGTACTCATTGGGTAAGAGGCTGGGTGAGCCCCAGGGCCTGTCTTGACGACGTGGACAAGAGAAAATTCTTGACCATATCTGCTCTCGAACTCCGGACACTCGGTCGTGTAGCCCGTAGCCAGTCGCGATGGTGGCGGAGGATAAGCGGCGAGAGCGGAAGCAGTCAACAAGAGCGGCTAGGGCTTGGAAACATGGCGCTCGTCTTCACCAAGCAAGCAGCTGCATGTTCTGGCTTGTTTTCAACTTCTTAAGCCCAACCCGCTCTATTAACTGTGTTGCAGTATATACCTTTACAGACTTGTTGAAGTATCTCATAAAAAGACGAGTTGCAAATGAGAATATTACTGGGTGTGTATACAGGGTGTTTCACGACTTTAGAGCGTTACCGCAGGAGGTGATTTCCTAGGTCTTTGTGATCAAAAAAGTTCATGTAAACATGTGTTCGATTTTGGACGGTTACGGAGTTATGACTGTTCTTTCATTCCCGTACACGCCTTCGTGTGAACCGCATCTATCATCTGGCGGGTCCCTATTTTTAGCCAGCTACAGACAGAGCGTTCTCCTTATATCGACACTTGAGAGGTACCTAATGCGTGGTGGGTTGGTATGTCCGGCCACGGTTAGTGTGGCGGCTACTGGTGTTCAGAACACTATGTAATGATTTACGCTCTGTCCATTCTCAGCATCCTACTGCCGCATGGTGCAGAATACCATTCCTCCAAGGCTTCTTAGCATGCGACATGGTAGGCACCAATGTTTATGAAACTGAAGGTGACTCTTCTTATATGCGCGAAAGCTGTTACGCTTTGTATGCACGGCAGCCACTCAGTATTACAGAATGGCTGACTTTTGGTGAGAAATGACTCAATGCAAATGATACTCATAAAGAAAGGTTACCTCTTTACGGTGGGAAGTGTTTATCGCGTAAAGAGGTTCACAACTGGATCTAGAAAGCCGCAGATGATGCCCGACAGAGTGCGGAAGTGGCTGAGATAACAGTCAGAAGATGTTCGTGTTGCGGGTTTCGACGCACTAGTAAAGCGATAGGACAATTCAATGTTGGGGGAGGTCATGTCGAGAAATAAATGTTTCCTTCCAGGTTCCAATATCACATGTTCTACGTTTTATGTCCATTTGTGACCTGTTTAATGACTCTCCCTCCTATAGCAGTGAATCAGAGGAAAGTTTCTGTGGAAACCGAAGCTAAAGATTTGAATTTCTACACGATCCCGCTGGATTTTGAGGAGACATAGCACTGTTAGGAGTATAATCTTACAAAGACAGGCTTTGTAGAATTGGACTGGCTCAGGATAGGTTTAAATAGAAGCCTCTTATGAAAACAGTTATGAACAATCCATAAACTGATGGAATTTCCTACTTCCTTATGTATAAGAACTGCCAAAATTACATGTGCTGTCGACTTTGTCAAGTACAGATATGCAAAGTCAAACATAAGTAGGCAGGGATGTATTAGGCAGTGGCTGTGGCCTACTTTAATGCAATATCAAAGCATTAGTCTGGACTACCATTCAGTCCAGAACCATTTGTCTTCTCGTCTGCTGTCTAAAAATATAAAAATTAGAATATACAAAACTATAATTTTGCCTGTGGTTCTGTATGGGTGTGGAACTTGGTCTAAGACATTAAGGGGGGAACACAGACTGAGGGTGTTTGAGAACAGTGCGTTAAGGACAATATTTGGACTGAAGACAGATGAAGTGACGGGAGGTTGGAGAAAACTGCATAATGATGAACTTCATAACCTGTACTCTTCTCCAAATATAATTAGAGTGATCAAGTCAAGGAGGGCAGGGCATGTAACATGAATGAGAAGAGAAATGCATATAGCATATTGGTGGGAAAGCCAGAAGAAAAGAAACCACTTGGAAGACCAAGACGTAGATGGGTGGTCAATATTAAAATGAATCTTGGGGAGATAGGATGGGATGGTGCGGATTAGATTGATCTGGCTCAGGATATGGACCAGTGAAGGTCTCTTGTGAACATGGCAATGAACCTCCGGGTTACATAAAATGCTGGGAAGTGACAGCTTCTGAAGAAGGGCTCAGCTCCATGAGTTGAGTGAGTCAGTGAGTCAGTCAGTCAGTCTGCACGGAATGTGGAAGAACACGTAGAACTTGAGAACATACTCATACCTTGAATCTCAACTCCCCCACTGGTGGCTTGGCATAAGGGACTCCTTGAAAAGCGAATATCTCGCGGCCCTTCCGTGACGTCAGCCGATGCCCTTTGAGACTTCCGTGTTTTAGTACAACTAAATCATCAGCTAGGACTGCGATGATAGTTGTCACCAGAACACATAACTCGTACCTCATCATGTCTTCTTGTTGTTCAGTTCAGATCTGCGCACGAACTGATGTCGCCTGTAACTCGTTAGCACTATCTGCTCTTGACCCACGTCACGGATCTCATTACTCCTAATTTACACAGTCACCGTGACTCGTATCGCTGAGAGAATGGAAGGGGTTTTCGACTGACACTTCGGAGATTACACAGGGCTATAGATATGATCTTTGTATGTCCTTTACATGCGTTTGTGTACATAAGGCTCAGGCGAAGGTTTATAAAAAAGGGTGTATTAGCCCATATTTGCGCCCACGAACTTAAATCTGCAGAATACATTTACAGTTGTGTCAGACGAGAATACGCACCGATAGCACAAATTAAAAGTTGCTACGCAACTTTAAGCTTTGTTGTTATTGGTACAATATACGAGAAAACTGCATAATGAGGAGCTTCATAACGCGTACTCTTCTCCAAGTATAATTTGAATGATGAATTAAAGGAGGATGAGGTGGACAGGGCATGTAGCACGAATGGGGGAGACAAGGAATGCGTATAATATATTGGTGGGCGAGCCAGAAGGAAAGATACCACTGGGAAGACGAAGGCGTAGTTGGGTGAACAACATTAAAATGGATCTTAGAGAGATAGGGTGGGATGGTATGGATTGGATTCATCTGGCTCAGGATAGGGACCAGTGGAGGGCTCTTGTGAACACGGTAATGAACCTTCGGGTTCCATAAAATGCTGGGAAGTTCTTGAGTGGCTGCACAACTGGCAGCTTCTGAAGAAGGGTTGAGCTCCATGAAGTGACTCAGTTAGCTCCTCTACTGGAGAAACTGTCTAGGGCTGATTTAGTTGCAGAATTGGTGGCTCCTCCAGAAGGGCTCAACTGCATGAGTAAGAAAGTAAGTAATCGCCAGTTTGCGTGGATTAAGGAGGATGAGCTGGGCTGCGTACGTAGCACACACGTGGATATGAAGAAGTAAGGAAAAATTAAGCAGAGGAATCGAAGAAAATTACCACTGGGAAACCCGAGGCTCAAGCTGCAGGATGGTACTCAAAATCACCTCCAAACAAGAGGGAATTGAGGTGTGATGTGAACTGGATTCTTCTGGCTGAGGATGAGATCCTATGGGTTGCATAAATGGCGGGGAAGTATCTGACTAGCTGAGCGATTATGAAATGGAAAATATCACTGTCTGTCAAGTGCGACAATTTTCGTATGGGTACATGAAAATCCGAGCCGGTCACGGTAGCCCAACTGTCTAAGGCATGTACTGTCTTCGCTCGCTTGGAACCCGGAATTAGGGTTCGAATCCCACTCAGGGCATCAATGTTTAGTTTGTGTGTGTGCGTTTTTCTGTGTTTGTGTGGCCGATAGTGGCCGAAACATGTGAAGCCAGACTGCTATACGCTCATGTTACACTTGTTACATTGACAGACCTTGCTACTCTTTGATTTATTAACGAGCGTAACGGTTCAAGGTGTCCCTTATAAAAAATAATTCGTTTCTTGATAGGAGCTCGATCAATCAAATTGGTTGTATCATCTGATATGAAGAGAATCACAGTTACATAATTCAGTGTGTCAAACAATTGCATAACCTTCACATGTCTGATAAGTCTATAGTATTTATCTAAGACAGTCAGCAGTTTTCTGCGCTCTTGAGCATGCATGAAACACGGTTGCAATATTGCTTCATGTGACGCTGCCAGAACGTGACGAGCGAAGAATTAAGAAAGAAATTATTTCAAGTACGGTCAAGTTTTCACGAGAAATAAGATAAAAGTTCTAACAATCGCCAGACAGCGAATGACCCCGGCAATATAGAGACTAGGCTACGGTTCGGTGTTCCATGCGCTGCAAGGGCAGAAGTTTTATCTTCTTCTGCGTGGCATCCAGACTGGCGCTGCGGTGTAACCGTCGCTCTATGTAATGCATACAGGAGAATGTTTTTCCAGGTGTAAAACTGTCGGAGCTTGAAGCTAATCATTCCTCTCCATTTTGTGCCGAGATTAGAAAAGGTGGAGCATGCCTCCACTCCCCCATATATCTTAATAACCTGTAGATCAATTAATTACGCACAGGGATAATTTAGATTCCCTTCAAGAGAAATCAGTTGAAGGAGCAATATATATTGATAAAACCAAAAAGAAAAGGCACATATTACAAAGAACCGCGCCGGAAATGAATGTGAGTATAAAGGTCTAGGAACTTCAGCGTACGATAATCTACCAGCAACTCCAAACTACAGAATGTGGTTGCACTACTGGTAATATTGCCACGTGTTTCACAGTGACTAAAGTTGTGGCTCGGATTGGTAATTGGATTTAAACTACAAATAATTATAAAACGATTGCTGATTTACACAATGTACAATCACTCAACACTAATCTCTTCTGTCTATCTGCATTAGCGCTCACGGATTTTATAAAAATCTCACTAAATCCCATATCCCCAATATATCTGTCCTACAGCACACATAAAGGCTTCATATTATAAGTTAAATCTTCACAGGTCGACTTCTTGTACTCTTCTATACTCCTGGTTCCAATTCACTCTGAACTTACAGCTCACGACTCTCGTTATATAGCCGCGGAACGGACATGGACCTACAGTAAACACGTATCGTGTGATCGCTATCCAGCGAGCCTCTTGCCGCGTCTGTGGGATATACAGAAAATACACTTTCCTCTATTCTTGCATGTTGGACCGTGTTTACATAGCTGTTGCCTGGCAATGCGTTTATCAAATACTATGTTAAATTTAGTCATATCCTGCAGTTCGCATTGCATGGCGCTGGCCAATGACAGTTTTCTTTCAGTAATGCGCATGGCAAAATTCAGTGTAAAAAAAGTAAAGTAAAGGAAAGCTATCCCTGTACCAGGCCATGTTAATTAATTCCTGGTACTCATTTCTGTTAGAGGCTAAGTAAACCCCAGGGCCTAGTGCAAGTTCTTTTCTATCCCAGTGCAGAAAATCACAATAAACAGGCGACGATTTATCTTTCAGGATTTAACTCTTGTCCTCGGAAACGCCATATTTTATTCCAGGAGTAAAAATGGAGTCGTTCCCAGCCGACGTGACAGCATATACCGTATTTACGCATGTATAGGCCGCACATTTTTTGCCAAAAATTCAAGAGGAAAACTGGGGTGCGGCTTATATTTGAAATATTCAAAATCACACTTAATTTAAGAAAATTATATTCATAATTAGTAATACAGGGTGTAATACTCCTGAAATAATATTCCAAGAAAATTATTTTTTCTATAATTTCTGTCTGAAAATTGTGCTGCGGCCTATACACGCACGCGGCCTATACATGCGTAAATACGGTATATTGAAACATTAAGAAAGCGAGGAATATTACTGATACCACGAATATACAGTCCGTTGAAATGTATGGATCTTACTATCAGCACAGCATGGGCATGCTATAGTTTGCTGAGGAATTGTGCCAAAAGCCGAAGGTCGCTGATTCAATTCCCGATGGAGTAATTGGATTTCTCAATTGACCTAATCCTTCCAGCCTCACTATGGACCTGGGATCGACTCAGCCTCTAACGGAAATGAGTACCAGGAATCTTCCGGGGGGTAAAAGGCGGTCTGCCGGGGCGTAAGGCTGACAACGTCACCATCATCTATGAGCCGAATATCTAGAAAATGTGGAAGCCTCGACGTCTCACGCCCTACCGGGCCTCCACGGCCTGTTACAGGGACAGCTTTACCCTTTTATTTACTAAGAGCGTACTCCCAGCGTACCCCTGTTCCAATACCTCTTGTTCTCAGCAGTTACACACCCCATCAGATAGGTAAAAGTGTTACCTTTGAGTAACAAGAAATCAGCTGGACGACGTAAGTTCGATTCCAGGCAGACAAGAGATTTTTCTCTACGGTATCCAGATTGGCTGGGTGACCCACCCGGCCTCCTATCCAAGGGACACCGGGGTCTCCTTCCCCGGGGTAAAGTGGCCGGGGCGTGAAGTTCACCAATCTCCTTGATCTAGTATCGAGGACAAAAATGGTGGAAATGTGCCTCTGCCCCCCCCACACGTCATTAGGCCGTGTTGCTTAATTAATTACTCACAAGGACAACTTTATCTCTTACATTTTTAGTGATCCTCCCCTCAGAAAGCTTCGAATCGTCACACTTTGAATTTGTATTCAAAGTCATTTTCATCTCATACGCTAAGCGCAACAACAAAGTAGGCAGTCTTCTTAACAGAAATGTACAGAGCAGTATAAACTCTGTTTCGAGAAAATTTTCTTACATGCTTGTGATGGCATGTAGATACCTTGGTAGGCGAACAGCGCGAGACAGGCGACTGCGCAGCGGCCTGTAAACAATAACAGATGAATGGTGTTTTCTGCGCGGTCCGCTGAGCAATAATTGAATAGCAACAAAGGAACGGTGATTTCTGTGCGGTCCGTTTCGTGATTTTATAAGTATTTCGATTAGTTCATTACCGCTTTCTTCCAAATCGCTTCCGACTTCTTATCATCACTTATCGTCCCCTAACACTGTACAGTCTGAATAGTGACAACATCGTTAATAATATACAGAATGTTAAATATTTTGAGAATGTAAATTACAGATTTGGAATCTAAAATCTTATTGTGTAAGATCTGTCTCGGCACAACATCAAATCAGTGGGAGTGCCTCCAAACAAACTATCCAGTTTCTTCCGGTCGGTCAAAGATAGCCTGGGACTAAGGACACCGGGTGTATACAGTGTCTCATGCGAGTGCGGCAAGGTCTCTATTGGGCAGGCTGGCCGCTCCGTGGACACGAACTTGAAGGAGCATCAGCGGCACATCCGTCTCGAACATCCGGACAAGTCAGCTGTCGCTGAACGCCGCATTCAGCTTCAGAATACTTCCATCCTCGCCACCAAGACCCGCTCTCGATATATGGCTCGCGTCATTAGATAGGCCATTGAGACTGAACTCCATCCCGACAGTGTGAAGAGAGGGGGGGGGGTTGTCTCAGCAATTCTCGTAGCCTCTCATGTGATCCCTCAAGAAACCTCCGGGATATGACGCCAGATCCCCAAGGCCACGCAGGTCCATACCCGACTCGCATAGCAACCCTTAAGCTTAAAGGTTAATGCCCTCCATTTAGCCTTGCCTTTCTCCCCGGGACACAATATTCTATGCCTGCTCTGGCCTGCTACCTGCTGGCCCACCTCCCCAGACCCTTCCCTTTCCTCTCTTCTGATTTGCCATGTAGCCCCCCTCCCTTCCCTTCCTGCTCGTATACAGCTGGGTTCATTCGACTCGACATTAGTCGGTCAGCACCTACTCACGCTGGTTCCTCGCTCGCAGATTTTCTCCTATTTTCTTCTACCATGAAGATGGAGGCGATATGTTCCTCCGAAACGTCAATTAACACAATATAAACACGGCGCCAGATCCCAGAATACGGCTTCCTTCTTTAAAATCTTATTGTGATGTGGCGGCTGAAAGCCGGAATAGTATAACAAAAAGTCGTCCATTGATAGAAAATAGCTGATAATCACGTTCCAACTGCAACCAAAACACGCTCTAGCATCAAAAACACCCGGGCCATCGCTAGGCAACAACCGGCTTAACGCTTCACTCAACAACGGAGGAATACATGATAATGGTGTTTTCTATGGAGTCCGTGGTAGAGGATTTTTATGTAGTGCAAATGAAGAATTCTTCAATTACATGCTGCATATGCGAAGTATATATTTGACGAAAAGCCAAGAGACAAACCAATCTTCTCGTGAGAGAGATGTTACATAAAGACTATCACCTCAAGGGTTCAGTTAAACAAAATCTCTGCTCCTGAGTCTCAAGGGACTTGATGCCAAGACAGACTGATTGGCAGTAAACCGCCTGTCTTAAAGTAACTCTGACTTGGACTTTGACTTCATACACTGATTGGGAGAGAATCCTGTGTGGATGCTGGTTCGAATACCTCCACCGTCTCCCTGCGATACGTAAGAGGCGACCGAAAGTGAACCCAGTGCTTTGGGGTAGAGCCGGGCCACCCCATTCCTGAAGGATATACGTGAACCTGCCCTTCAAGATTGGGAGAGTCTCGAATCTGAGGCAGTAAACTGTGGTCATGATTCCCGCGGGACTCGGACCCGAGAATGACTGCGCTGGCGAGGCCAGCAGCAATTGTAAACAACAGACTCATCCTCTCGTCAGAAAGGATGTGATGTAGCTAGATGCAGTTATAACCTATAAGTGTTCAGTAAACCCAATTACCAGTACTATCCCATCTACAATCACTCATTCTATTCATAATATCACAATATTCGCATTTCCTCCACGACTTGAAGAGCAGGCATAGTACTAGTGCCGATTGCCCGCAGCAGCTGAGTATCTGGTTCTGACAGGCAAAGTTTCCCAGAATTCACTGCGCTCTTTCAAAAGCCCTCTGCCTTGGTGCAACCCATCATGAGCGATCCGAACGTAATCGAGCACTTCAGGCGAAGAAACGGGTTTCCATGTGGGCGCAGGNGGGATCGAACCCGGACCGCCGCCGTGGGAAGCCAGCGACAACTCACTTGAGCTATGGCGCTGCCCTGCCGCTATATAAATGGAGACGCTTTTCCTAATTTATCGGTACCGCCTGGGAGTTCGCGGCAGACACCCATCTAGTGAAATTGCAGCGCCTGCAAAACAAGGTTCTCCGCACCATTGGCAATTTTCCAGGGCGTACATGGGTCCGCGATTTGCGCATGGCATGCAAAATCCCATACGTATATGACTACATAACAAAATTATGCAGGCAACAAGCAGAAGTCATACAAAATCATGAAAATGAGAATGTTCGCAACATCGGACAAGGCGAAGCCCGAACAACGAAGTATAAGAGGCTTAAACTTGTTGGCGGTCAGGCATACAGCCGTTCAAGTGACTAGACTGCCGTGGTAGCGAATACTGGTAGAAATAGGGCAAAATCTGCTGTACTGAGCCTGGACGGACAGAGGCCTTGTATAGTATATATCGTACATAGAAATAAGGAATAAGTGTGGATTTGTAAATGTATGTAAATACAGACTGTAACGCCGTGGAGCAGGGGGGCGTGGAGTCAGCCCGCCTCTGCCACCACTGTTATGTCGCAAGTGGGGGTGGCGTGGATGTTATCCCTCCTCGCCTCCACTTGTTTCTGCTGTAACGCTGCCATCACTGTTACGTCGTGACGACGGGGGTGTGCAGGTACCCATCCTTGCCACCCCCAGCTTACTCTGTAAGGAGTTAACACAATCATCCTAGCTTACCCTCAGCTAGGATTCTCCTCTTTCAGGGTTTTCTTCTCGGTAAAAGCTGCCACCATCTATTATCTGTCCTTTCGATTGTGGGCACCACTCCCTGGCACATAGTCATAGCTCCTTGACCACTCCTCCCGTAGTTTACAGGTAGCGACTTAATACTTTATTATTACACTTTAACCGTATATCTTAAGGGGCGTTGGTATCTAGGCTACTTAACTCTGCCGGTGTGGTGCAGGTGCCTATCCCTGTTTGTCTTTCGTTGTCGTCGGCTGCTACTGCTGCCTGTGTCAGTTCGACCCTCGCTTTGGTCAGGAATGCTCGGGATCGGATGTGGGAAAGTTGCTTATAGATATGAATCACAACCTCGGTACATCCTATCCTATCTATCTACTCCATCTATTTACACTTTTGTATTTACATAATTTACAAATTTACATTATTAACTAGACCGACCTACAGTCGGGTCTGCATAGAGTCTTTACTACACGATAGACCCTTCCAAGTTCTTCCCCTTCGGGGATGGAGGCCTCGAGCCTCTCTCTCGGACTTGACTAATGAGGACATGCAAGTCCCCCCTTGGTTATCCTGAATCCCTTGCCTCTATATTTATGACTACACATTATATATGATTCCCCTATCCTTAGTAATGTTTCTTCTAACATAATCTACCCTTAGTTATATTATATATCTCAATTCCCGTATACTATTTTTATCCTACGTACTAACCATAACCCTTACACATATACTATAAAACCTTCTGGCCTGACACACACCCTAAGCGCTTACATCATTCTAGGATCCTCCCCTAAGGGCTCACTGGGTACACTGAAGTTTGCACATTAAATTAGCTCAACAACACTGTTATCAACAATAATATTCTCACAATAATATTAACCAGCATGGCTGTTATGCGTAAACAAACTTACGTGTAATACAAGATGCAGGCCCACTGCCTCCGCTTGTAATGCCCATGTTGAAGAGAGCCTTCGGCTGACAACTCAATATTCTGTTTAAGATCAGAATCCTAAGTCTCTCGAAATTCTCCAATTTATGGTTTTTAATTCGCTGATTCAGCGTTGACGACAGAGGGTAGATAACTCCTCCCTGGTGTTCTAATTTCCGAAAGTTATGTTCTCATTGGGTATTATCGGTGGTTGTGGGCGGACCTCTTGCGTCTTATTGCTGTGTATGCAGTCTCTTACGATTACTCCAGTGACCAAGTGAGGCAAGCTTCTTGTTCTGTGAGTACACATACTTGCTGAGCCTCCACATTCTTAGCCTATTTGCCTGCCCCGGTGTTTACAGTTTACTGGAATGACTGCGAAACTCCTTTCGCAAGTCGCGAACATTTTGGGTAATGGCTTACACTCTCCAATCTCAAATTTGGGCCATAACACAGACAGTAGACTTATTAATACAGACTGACTGACAAATGACAGACCCGACCTCTCGTCAGACAGGGCGCCACACATAGACAAGACAGAAAGTTTCATTCAAAAGAAATATCTGGTCTTGAGCCCCAGCTGGGGCTCGACACCAAGACAGACAGACTGACTGGGCGTCAGTTGCAACATGATTTTGACTTAATTTATTGCTACTTAACTTATGTTTCAACAGTACTTCTATGGCTCTACAGCCCTTTTGGACCTTGGTCGCTTTTTCAGTTTCTTAATCTACACAGAGTGGGTCCTTGGACGGGCGATCAATCCGTCGCAAGATCTCTACCTAAACACAGAACAGCACAAACGCACAGACATCCATGCCTCGAGTGGAATTCGAACCTGCGACCCCTATGTTCGAGCGAGCGAAGGCAATTCGTGCCTTACACCGCGCGACCACTGTGATCGCCGTTTTATCACTATTACTTTATATTAACTGAAGCAACTTTCAGACGACTAAGTTCCTCATCTTAATTTAAAAGTTAATTGGTTCTGGAACATAAGGCCGTGTGGTCCATTAACAGCGAACCGACGTTTGGGAGGAGCCTTTAGCAACCAGTAAGAAGGGTTCTGAGTGCAGGTTCCGTCTCCACTGCACAAGACGTACCCACTGCGAGCGAAGTTTGTCCACAGCGCTGTCATCGTCTCCACCATGCGTTCGTCCTCTGCTGTCAGTTTAGAATTGCGAAATATGACATCCTGAGGGAACAGATACAGCACGTCGTCCAGATGAACAGGGCCTGAAATTCAAAGTAAACTCAGTGCCGACCCATGCCCAGTAAGCAGATTTCATAACGAGAACATAAATGGGCCAGCAAGAGCCGAGGCGAGGGGCTTACGGAAGTGCTGGAGCCACATTCTCATGATGTCAGCCACTTCAACGCTCAGTCTCGAAGCCTATGTCCCTTTCACGCTTCTTAACATTAACTTCACATCTCTTGTCTCCCCACATTCTCATGACGTCACGATCCTGAAGCAGCCTATGTCCTTCACGCGCGTCCTAACATTAACTTCACGTCTCTTGTCTCCGTGCTACAACGAACTTTCCACAAGGGCATTGAAGTGGAATGAATATTGTAATTATACATTACGTGGGATGGAGGTATAGCTCCACATGCGCTAGATGGAGGTCAGTGGGTGTATTAACCCTCGGGAAAACAGCTCCTGGAACCCGTTGGACTGGAGTCTGGACATTGTGGAAAACAGTCAAATCTCGTATCTGCACCGAGAATCGAACTCCGATTCCTTGGTCGTCTAGCGCTAGCCTAGTCTCTAAGCTAACTGAAATGTGTTGCAGGCACCACGTGTCCAGTGACTGAACTTGGGTCCTCTTAACAGATCCGGCTGAGTAGAAACCTGAGGAGGAGAGCAGATCCAATCCCCGAAACGGCATGTTTTCTTTTAGAACATTGGCCTGTGGTCTACGTGCTGAAAGTCATTAACAGTAAAAGAGTAACATTTCTGCACCTTCCTGGAGTCAAGCCATGGGAGAACATACGGTTGTGTGACGTCGAGGCTCCAATTTTTTTCATCCAAACCATAGCCATTCTCTCTGCTAACTGAATTATCCCGAGGAATATCAAGATCAGGTACAGTGTGTGTCGTAATGTGGTGCGTGCAACCTACTCCGCTCCTATTCTGTGAAACGAATCGGTTACGGTAAAGGTAAAGGGAGGTAAAGCTATCCCTGTAACAGGGCCTGAAGGGCCATAGGGTTGTGAGACGTCGAGGCTACCAAAGTTTCTATTGACAATCAGCTTACAGAGGCCGGTAAATTTGTCGGCCTTACGCGCCGGCCACTCTTTATCCCCCCGGAAGAGTCTTCCCCCCGCCCCCAAATATTCCTTTAATCGGCTCTGAGTTGTTGCAAATATTTGTAGTTTCACATGCTGTAAGCACTCACCAAAATCACAAGTCGAATTTGTTGCCAGAGTACTGAAGCTGTTGGTTCCGCGATAGTCAAATAAGTAATAATAGACTTGCGCCCCTCTCTTAGAGTGGAGTCTGGCTGCTGTGTTCGTCCCGAGCAAGAAAAATAAATCGGTAATCAACTGCAACAGAAGAAATCCGAAGTTGGAAATAATGAATACAACAGCAAACCCAAGGTTACTTGAAATCTGCGGGTGTTGACGAGTTACTCTGTATTATACATTAATTTAAAACCAGGGCTTGGGGTGGGGTGGGATGGCATCCCGGTTCTTTTCTAAATGACTTAAAAGCATCCCGTTACTTCTTTGGCAGTAAATTCAATGTACAATACCTTTGTTGTTGTTGTTGTTGTTGTTGTTTTTATCTGTTTCATGGTTGTACAGGCTACTCCCCTGCGTCGTCTAACTAAATTTTGCTTTCGTGTGGTACTGTTTGAAGCACCCGAGAATGCACAGTCCCACATCTCATTTCTCTCACTTCGTCTGAACTCGTTTCCTCTTTCCACATGCAGAACAAACATGGCATTTCATTCTCATGGTACAAGAGGTCGGCCAGTGATGTCGATTGGCCTCCTCTAGACGAAATATTGTAGATGACATAGCAGAAGGTCGACCTAATGTGCGTTGTGGTTGGGAGTGACACATTACAGCATCTTCCAGCATATTGCGCAAAAGGGTAGGACGAAAGTCCCTATGTGACAGTTTCCCACCGCAGGATGATAGTAGGATGAAACTGTTCAGAATCGTCAGATCCAGTAAATGGAAGACGCTTGTTTAGCAGTAATAAGGGTTTTTCATAGAAAGTAGAGGGCAGGCAATTTCCCTTTGTATGAACCTCCGCCAAATACCCTGAATAAGCTGAGAAACTTGTGACGATAGACCTGTATAAGCTTTTGTCCACCACACTTTTATGGCATGGGGTTTCTGCTAACAAGCCCAAGTGTTACAAAAAGGAAAGATTTTATACTGCAGAACTGTTGTGTGAAGAATTTTTTAGTTAATTCCATTCATTTATCATAAAAATTGTATTAGGTAGAGGAATTCCAAATACAACTCTCAAGCGCTCTAAGTGGAACTGGCATTTAACGTAGAGCGGAAACGTGGACTTAACCACCTGCAAGCAGCGGGCATTTAAATAAACCGCGGTCAGCTAGCTCTACCTGCGTTTCAAAACTCCGGCGGTTAAAGGTTAAGGAAAGATTCATTTTCGTATTATACGATGTCGGAAACAGTTTGTCCTTCTCTTGCCTTGTATCCCATCCCATCCCATCCCAATGTGGAGGTGGCCTGTCTCCAACAGAACAGTTGTTTACAACAAAATTTTAAGTTTTTATATTGTTGATGTCACATCTGAATTCTTAGTTATTTTATTGAAAATGAAAACACAATTTCTTGGCAGAAAATGAGGCACACATTTCCTACTCCATCCTACTTCATTGGATAGAAACAAATTTGGTGTTGAAATAGCACAGTCGGCAAACTACAAATACAGTTATGACGGGTACAGGCTGTATTCTTACATCCGGTAACACATATATAAACTTGTTCAATAATGTGAGAACCCATTCCATTTAAGTGATGGGTCAGACGTTTGCAGTAAATAATCACAAAAGTTTCTATTCTTGATGACACGTCCCAGCCTTAAGGACACACATATTTTATTCTATTCCAACCAATGGGAATCTAGCCAGAAATTTTAGTGGGGGGGGGCCTTGCGTTGAACCTTGCTTCAATGACAGAAAATGTACGAAATGTTATTTTAGTTCAGCATCAGTTTTCATTAATCAGTGACATGACCAGACCCGGGCTGGAACCCGGGCCGCCGCCGTGGGAAGCCAGCAACTAACCTCTCGAGCTATGGCGCTGCCATGTACAAGTCACTAACTGAGGTTGAAGTAACAGTCAAAGTTACTGAGGATGACGTAACGGTCCACGTCACTAACTGAGGATGCTGTAACAGTCCAAGTCACTAGCTGAGGATGAAGTAACGGTAAAAGTCAGCGGCCTCCATAGTCTAGGGGTAACGTTCCCACCTCATGACTCAAGGTACGCGGGTTCAACCCGGCGGAGGTCGTGGAATTTTTAAGAGCGGAAAAATTCAGGGAACAAGTCCTCCGGGAGGGACTTTAAGCCGTGGGTGCCGTGTCGTAGATTTACGGCACGTAAAAGATCCTCATGTCTCTAGGAGACCTCTAAGCAAAATTAGGCAACAATTTCCCGCCCAAATAGTTTCCAATGTCTCTGGTAGATGGGGGAAATATCAGATACCGACGGCCGACCACGTTGGCTGAACGGGGCTGATAGCACGCACCAGAACCGGTATGGTATGGCGACAGTAGAAATTAAAGGGAGACGCACAATGGACCAATAACTGGTCTAAGTGAATGGGGAAAACCACCCCCTCTAATAATAATAATAATAATAATAACAGTCAAAGTCATTAACTGAGGATGAAGTAACAGTCCAAGTCACTGACTGAAGACGACGTAACGGTCCAGAGTAACGGTCCAGGTCACTAACTGAGGATGAGTACCGGTCCATGTAACTAACTGAGGATAACTTACACTCGTTCTACAGAAGCTGGAATATACGTGAACGAAGACCAAGAACACTTACATCAGTTATACCAGAGTCGGGTGCATGAATAATCCGTTTGTCTCCGAAGTAGAATTCCTCGACCTTCTGAACAATCTTCTTGACGAGTGACTTGTCCTCGGGATTTTCAAGCAGAATTGTTATCAGACTATTTTCCACCAGCTTTGCCTTCGATTGATCTGGTCCCAGTAGAACTGTAACGCAGAAAGGAAGCAGTAACTGTTGTTGTGTAGTTCAGTTTTCATGTGGGAGCAGGAACAGTTTAGAGGAGCATATTCAGAAATAACTCATTTTAATTCCGTGCTTATTAGGTTCCATACTAAACAACGAAAAGGCCAAATGTATAAAATAAGTAAGCACAAAATTTAAATAAATATATTCAAGGACATAACAGCAAGGAACCCAACACAATACATGGAATCGCGCCAGGAACTCTGCGGGGAGAGGAAGGTGTGTACATACATCCCTGCTGAGTGCTATCAACTTTCTAATTAGTAGAAATAACTACAATAAAATACAATACTCTTAAGAAAAACAGTTTTTGTTCCAAGTACGTCAAGTCCCTGCGAAGCACATCAGCAGCTAAACCGCATCTAACAGAGGGACAACCCACACTCGAGGAGCAGATGTCCAGAAAATTAAAATCTCTTATATACTGTCATGTTTTGGGTGTATAACGCGACAAATAACCTCACGCCGTTGTTTGGTATAGCGACTTTATTCTGTTCGCTCGCTTTACACACACTTTACAAACATTTGCACTTGCAGTGTTACAATTACTGCTTACAATATTCCGGCCGACACTGGACTCTCTTCTCTGGCGGTTCTTCTAGGACTGACTGCTTCCCGTCGAAGCTGGGCTATTTATAACCTCGGCCGCTGCTAGGGAGATGAATCCTCTGTTATAGCAGTGGAAACGTTGCTCTGTTGGTCCCGCGTTTCCTACGCAATGACCCATTGTTAATGCGTCGTCTCTGTGGGAACGTTTCGCGTATTCGTCGTAACCGTGGAGATTCGACGTTCTCTACACAACGGCTCACTGTTGGGATTACAGTGTCGCTATTGTTACTTTCTATTCAACGGTCTATTCTAGTGTTTCCATAAAAGCGACTCTTCTGGATTCCAGACACGTTACATTGCTCCCTTTTAAAGGTTGTTCGTCCCCGAACAGCCTAAAGGTTCTCCCTTGGTTTCGATGCCGCGGTGTTTTGCTAGCAACGTCTGAATTCGGTCTTGGTGTCCTTCGCGCGTCTTTTTGCGCTGTTTATTTTACTACATCCGCCCCTCTCTTCAGTTGTGCTCGTCCCGAGCACTCCCGTAGCCGAGAATTTGTGATCTCGTTGTTTTACATTTATTTCTCACTTTCATTCTTCAAGCATCCTTGTTGGGGAGGCCGGTACTTCTACGATACCGGTTCCTCCCATGAGGGCTGTTTCCCTTTGCCTGCTTTGGAGGGGGTCGACCCCTCCACAGTGTCCAATCTTTGTTTTGGCGTAGGCCGACGGGAGATTTGGCTATACGCTTCTTGATCACTAGTCCAGTCGTCTTCCTGTATGTCCTGTTAGATTCTGTCTTTTCCAGTAGCGGCTGCTGTCTTCCACTCCATCCTCCTATACCATTTGCGGTTTTACTCCCTTTCCTCGGATGTAGAGGCTCTTCTACGTCTCGGCTACTTACGCCCTTGCTGCCTTCCTTTTTCGTCTGATGTCTCCTCCCGGGCGTGTATCCTGTCGCGTTTTCCCTCAGTATGCTGTTCCTGTCCCAGTTCCTTCTGGGGATCCTGTTTCGCCGTGATACTCTGGCACGGAAGGTTGTCCTCTTGCTGGAGAATCCCAACCTCTCGTGGGGTCCACGCTTTCTCTGGGTGATGTTCCTGAGGATGTCTATCTTGGGTCGTCCTACATTCGCCCGGCGTGTTGTCCTTCTGTAGTCGGCGGCCAATTCATTACGCTGGCATCCGAAGGTTCCCTTGAGAGTTTCCTTCTTGAAGTCGTTTCTTCAACGTCGTGCCACTGTCGCGCGACGGGATGTCCTGCTGTTTTTCTCCTGCCGTGCCACTTCCGCACGGCGTGTTGTCACTCTTTGTGTGCTGTCCAATTTCTCCTGGGGTCCAAGAATTACCCGCGTTGCATCCTTCGGTTTCTGGCGGCGGCGCTCCGCGGCCAGTTTCCGGTCCCTAAGCCTCTCCTTCCGTTCTCCGACCGGTATTTTCGGGGCGTCTTCTGTGGGGACCTCTTTTTTCTGTGCCTCCATTTCCCGGTAGGCAGTCATCTCTTTTTCCGTTTCGGGCATCATCTCTTTATGGCGGGCGTCGGCCTTGGCCTGGTTTGCGTCTAGTTTAGCCAGCAATTCTTCTTTGGTGGCTCTGAATTCTTTCAGCAGCAGTTCCATCATCTGATGCATCTCCATGTTATATCAGTGGAGTACTCAATGCAAATTAATTAGTGTGTGGCGAATGTAGGTTCGTAAAACTTCTGACAGTAGCAGAAATCATTATGATGATGACAATAATAATAATAATAATAATTTACATTGTGAAATGGTACCCGAAAGCCGGAATGGTGAAGCCAGACTAGGCGTTCAATGCTAAGCAACAACACGGTAAAAAATTCCCCTCAGCAAAGAATACGAAAGCAACAATTGAATATCTTCCGTTGCTAAGCAATGGCCCTGTAAACAGTCCTTCCCAAAAATAGAGAGGCAGTGTTTTCTGCGTGGTCCGGTCAAAGTGATTATAAAGGAAATTCAGTTGAGAAGTATTAGTCGCGTTTCGAGACGCCAATGTGCCAGGATATGAGCTTGTGAGCAGAAGAATTGAACTGAGTGCGCAGTTGCGGAATAATGGCAAAAGGGGACTTGTGATCTGAAGTGAGAGTGAGATTTTGAAAAATCCGTTGCCAGGAAACGACAAGTGAACGCTGAGAATCCTAATAACTGTGAAAATGTGAACTCTAAAGTGTGTAGATCAGCAATATCACCGTAATTGCCTGTCGTTCTGAGTTGCGTGCATAATGTGTCAATAAATCCAATTATCCAATTGAAAACCCGTCTCATAAGTCACCCATACACGTGACAAAATTAGTAATGGTAGTAGTAATAAAAGTACTTGGACGCAATGTACATTAATGGTAACTGATGATGATGATAATAATAATAATGTAATAATACGACTAATAATACTACCCTGACGCAATATGCAACATTAGAGGAGGATGTTCGCCATAGAATAAGTAACAAGGCGAGAGTAGTCAAGCAGTTTATTATTATTATTATTATTATTATTATTATTATTATTATTATTATTATTATCATTAGTATTAGTATTATTGTTAGTGAAGTGAGACTGTGTCCACTTGGTACTGCGGCTACTACTGGCATATTGTACCAGCACCAGATGATAGGTGAGGGTGATTGTGGAGCAATTGGTGGAGTGAAGATTGGCAAGGGAAACAGAAGTACTCGGAGAAAACCTGCCCCGCGCCACTTTGTCCACCACAAATCCCACATGATCAGACCCGAGCTCGAACCAGGGCCTCCGCGGAGGGAAGCCGGTGACTAAGAGGCTGAGCTATGGCGCGGCCCTAGCCAAGTTAATACACAGCATTTAACACTAAAATATGAGAAATATTCGAAAACCTGCTGCAAATCGATGAATTTGAAGTTTTCTAAGCGGTTGTTATGAAGAGTTCTATCTTCTGGGTTATAATACCCTGTAGTCCGTTGGAAGTCAACTGACGTGGCAGAGGAATACATGGCCGCCATCTTAGGGGTCGAAGAGTAAGTCAAGCAAGAAATCAGCGTGAAAGCAGGTGGAAAGCAGGAAGCACCTTTATACTGACGACGACTGTTCAAGTTCCATATTAAGAGAAATTTCGTAATTAATTATATTTAAAAAGTATTGTCTCACATGTTGTAAAGAACACTCCTTCGTTGGACGCAAATCCCACCATCCACGGCACGAGTTCAAGGTCACCACTGAGAAGTATCTTCATGGGGTGATCACTCATGAATACTTCATCTCCTTCTCCCACCTGCTTCTCAATAACAGGAGTGAACGTGGTAGGGAACATTCTCTTGGTCTGAAAAGTGAAGCGGTTCATCAGCATCTGATTAACGCGCAGTCAAACCTGATTGTCTCCCGGCTACCCATGTTTAACGCAGCGACAGGAGAGCTCCTTGGATACTAATGGAGGCGTGCGGTTAGCTTCACGCTTCGATTGCCTTTACTCCAGAGATAATAGAACAGGAATTTCTCTTGGTTCTAGAGAATTCTGAACAGGTCTGTGAAAAATAAATCGAAACCCCTGAGCAAGGACTTAGTATTAGGCTCGAGTTAATATTATGATTCTTGTAAAAGTACTTCTGCAAATTATTAAATTGAAGTACATGTACTCTGCCCATCACAGGGGGTAGGTCGAGGAGGCATGACGGTTTTGCGTTCGATACTCTGAGAGCCCTGACAATAAGTGAAACAATTCAAGAATATTTAACATAAAGATTGCAGTATAGTATCCGTGCTATATATGTTCAATATGGCCTCCGTGACATTGGATACATTGCCCTATTCGCTATATCGAGTTCTGCACAACTCGCTGCAATAAAGCATCATTAATGCGTCCAGTTCCCTCAATAATTCGGTCCTTCAGTTCGTGGGTGAATTTGGGGGGTGTAGTGCGCACGTAGACTTGCGATTCTCCTGGCAGGAAAAGTCTGAGGCTCTCAAGTCCGGTGAACGTGATGGCCATTGAGTGTCTCCAAATTGTGAAGTTAAGCGAACTGAAAACATTCCTCTAAGAAGAGTCGTGCTTATACCTTGCCGTGTGGACCGTTGCACCATCCTGTTTAAACCCTCCAAGGAAATAAGACCCGATCACACCAAAGGCGTGAGGTTTCTCGTGGATCTGCATAGGATTAACACCGCCCTGGTTCCTGAAATTCTGTTTGCCTATATAACCAGAGACTGGGCCTCGTCTGGCATGATCAAAGCATCATCAATATCGAAGAGGTCCATAAACTGTCTAAAAGTGTCCACACGGCAAGGTTCACACTGTTCGTTCAGTTCGTGTGTTATGTGGTGTATTTGAATGTCTCTATTTAAAATCACTCAAGAACGTTAATCTGTGTTTCCTGACCGTTAAATTAAGAGGTAAAGTTTTCAGAGCCTTCTCTTATCAATATTCAGTTAGAGAATTCAGACTGTGCCAATGTCAGAGAATCTGATGCGGAACTTACTGGAATCAAAAGTTCCGCGCTGTATAACTTGTATGCGTCTTGTTTCCTGAGGCAGGAGATCAGCTCAGAGCTCGACTGAACCGGACAGTTAAACACATCTGCCACTTGTTCTGCCACTAACTTCGGGCTTCCTGGAGGTGTAAGTGCCCAGGGGCTTAAAACAATGCCGCTCTGGGAGATAGCACGATGGAATAAACCTGTAAATCAATACATGATGATTGCATTTAGAATAACTGCCTTAGATTAAAGTCAAAATATCCCATAACTCTGAATATTTTCGAGTGCTGGATTCTGACGCTGATCATTCTGAGCTCTTATTTATTTTTTTGATTATAGATAAACGTGAAATTTGTTTCTAATTAATTCTCGGTAATTTAAATTTCAAAAGTCTTATATTTCGGTATTACTGGAATTGTATCGTGATCTATAATATCGTATTTTATCGTCTGGGACGTGCAATACGGTATTTATGTTGAAAATTTCTAGATTCTGGCAGAAACAAGAAGTCCGGA